GATCGTTCGACTTTTCACGTGAAGCGAAGTTCATCCCTATCCCTATATATAGGGGCGCAATTGAGTAAAAGGAACCATATTCAACATAATAAAAAACTACGGAAAATGATTATAATTAATAAAAATATAGTTTTTATAAAAAAAATTACATTGTATCGTATTTTATAAATTTATTATATTCTTTTATATTAAATATGTGTAATTTTGATATTCAAAATGTTGATTATATGCCAGCAGTAAATTACTTACTACGTACACCTTTATTTTTTAATTTATTCTTAAGAACATAATACTCTGAAATTGTAATGCAATTCTGAAATCTGCATTATTATTAGTCCTAAAGATTAATTGTTAAATATCGTTATTCGTGAATTATTAATCGCATTAAATAAATATCTGAGAATTTAAAATATTTCTTATTTTAATTTATCAATGTCTCTTTGACATATTTGTGTGGTTTGGCATAGTTATCGGTATCGGTTACAAGTGTATACCTTCTTATGAATCTCTATCTCGATCGCATCGCGATGACAATCATACTTTCAACAGTTTGCCCGCCGCGCCATAGTGGTGTGTCCTATAAATAGAATAAATTTTAAGGGTATCCCACGCGTTGCGCGCGTGACAGCTGCCGCAACTCGACCACAATATCGAGAAGTTGCCATCATGCGTTTTCCGACGTCAATATATCACAGATATGCGATGTGCAATGTCTGTGTATTATACATGCAAATAGTAGTTATACCATTATCGTAAAAGAAAATGAAAATAATGCTTCTTTCCATATTTAGAAACTTTTATCATTATTTATGTCATAGTCTTGCCCTTTTCTGTCTGTCAAAGAGGCATTTATTGAACAACAATTCCCCAAGTAAGTTAAAACATTGACTTACATTTTATATATCTTTTAGATTTACTATTAAAAAAATTAATTTTCGATAATAGTAAGATCTCTTTATAGAACTTGATTTAAGGAAAAGCATAATTAAGAACGATTATTAATTAAATCTGTCATTTTGAATTTCACCTCCAACGTTGTCTTCTTCATCAAATAATGTGTCTTGTCCGCAATCTTCCAACAGGACCAAATACATGATGATAAACGTGCGCGCGCGTTTCTCTTTGCGAGTCCGGAAATTGCGACCGAGCGCCCTATTTTATTCATAAACGTTCATAAGGCGTACATGCATCGGAATCAATATGCACGGCCGCGAGAATGGTTACACACATACTTAAAAGGATTACGTAAAATTCGTTTAATACGACAATCTCGCGCATATGCATCCCATATGATCATCACAGGTGTACTTAATTTTGTCTTAAGAGAAAGAAAGGATGAATAAGTTATGCCGAAATTCTTTGAACGTTAGCTAAATCACAACACGTATTACAAAAATTAAGTCGCGCGCACTTTTGTCCAGGTCTTAAAATCTCCCTGGCAAACTTTAAAAAGTGATCTTTTTGTACGCAATTTACCCTTCCCAATTTACAACTTTTCTCCCTTTTTCCAATGTATTTACATATCGTAAATGACAAGATTAAAATTTAATATGCATATAAACTGAATATTATTTTTGTTCGGCGCAGTCAAACGACTACATTATGTAATATATAGATTCACATAAAAATATTTAAGCACCTAAGATCCAGTTTCAACTGTTATGGACATTATTCGTTATTTGCTGTGTATTCACAATATACAGTCTTAACAAATCATTTATTATTGATTATTTATTAAAACTTTTTTCATGTATGTCTTAGGATACATAGTGTTCTCAGTCATCGCATTTTCTTTCGTCCATAGGCGGTAAAACGTGATAGCTGCGTAACTTTGATTTTTGGAATTATTAAACATGACAAATGGAAACATTAAAAAGAGAAAGAGAGGAGGCATTATTTTTTTTCACTAGTCAGCAACTTGAAATTTGTATTTTGATTCCATTCTGTTGAACAGCGTGCATCGGCTGGACTTATTGATTTATTCAGAGGGTGAACAACCACCATCACCATTACCACCACTATCGCTACTACCACTACCACCATTCCCTCCTTTTCCTCGGACGACGCTGATGAGCGTACGTGTCATTGTCCTCGACCACTCTCACTATTTCCAACCTCTGATGAGGTAACCTTGCAAAATTACAGCTGATACCGTATCTCCAACAAGTTACCGGCGCACTATCTCGTCATACTCGATCAATCGAACATCTAGTGCAGGATGTACTTATACAGGATGTCCCATTTTGATCGGTCACTTCAAATATCTCTTGAATAGTGCATTTAAGAGAAAAATGTTTCAAACGAAGATTTTGGGACTTCGATGATATCGTTGATTTGACCTTGAGTGGCGTCAAAGTCAGAACAAGGTTACTTTAAATTTTTTAAATGAAATCCCCTATTTTTCATTACATATTATAGCATACCTCGAGAGCTTTCCAAAACACTATAACTAAATATTTTTTCATTAAGTATCTTTCGAGTTAAAAGGCTTCAAAGTTACAATACTGTTGGCATTAACATTGACACTCAACGTGTTCGACCGATGGCTAAAGCCTTTGTCTAAAACATTTTTCCTTAAAATGCACTGTTCAAGAAATATTTGTTCAAGAAAGATTTGAATAAGTGATCGATTAAAATGGAATACCCTGTATATATTAGCGTGACAAGAAAGGAATTCTCGTCAGTCAAAAATTTGCGTAAAAAGTGTAACAGAATATATACATAAAAAGTGTCCGCATACCAAAATAAACTTGTCATATGTTGATTGTTAAACCTCAATGAAAAAAACATTTTCACCAACTTTTAATACCGGCGAGTGGGTATCCGCAATTATCGGATCTTACAATAAAGGTTGAACTGATTAAGTTCTAAGTAAACTCAATCTATAGCTACAGTCCGGATTATACATATATGTACATGTCTTTAGCCCTATGAACAGAGATATTGTGACTTAAAGCGTAGATTGGTAATATTTGTATATTAAGATACGTCATCATCATCGACCCAGAAAATGTACGTACTGTTACAGCTTCTGTCGCAAGAATGCACTAGCGATCATTCGATCAAGCTCGCAGTAATGTTGCATGCGAGAAAAAGTATTCGTTTTGTGCTTGTAAGCATCATTTATCTTTATTTAATATTTTATAGACAATAAGGGTGCAATATAATGCTAAGAGTCATGGTACACTAAAAAAACCTAAAACGTAAGACTTAAGCAGTAAGGAAATCAACATGTTGAATTCGTTACTGTTCACGTTATGGTCTCTACTGTGATTGGTCGATTTGCTTACTGCTTAAATCTTATGTTTTGTTTTTCTATGTGCCATGGCCCAGCGTGAGCGTGCAAACCGAACGCAATCAAAGTGAGCAATCTACAGACTTTTATACTACATTACACTATACTGACTCTGTCCCTTTGCTACTAATTTGCCAAGAATATACGCATGTTTAAAATAAGGTCCATATACTAGTTCACGCATTTAACCACAGAGAAATACAACATCTTTAGCCAATCACAGAGAGGTATACCCCATCTTGATATCGAAGCTGAGATCTTAAGTACTTAAATATAATTTGATTATTTACTGCATATGTCATCACGAAAATTATGTGCCGAATTTATTTTTCGATCTTTTTAAAATGCAATCTCGACAGAACTATAATAGTAATATAATTGATGCTCACAGGCATCTTGGAAAGATCTTAATGATACTGATAAACTTACTTTTATTATCGCTCTTTATCTCAACAAACTCGTCTGACTTCCGCGTTTGTTGGATAACATATATATTGTGCTATTACACATTTACTCACTTACCTTCGATTACTGTTTTTTACAATTGTTGGTTTTAACGGAATGCGAAAAATATCATAAAAATTATAAGTGTAAAGACACTAGTATGATAAGCGAGAGATCTGTGTTCATTACTTGGCCAAGGTAATATTTTTTGCAATAAAATTATGTATAGATTTTTTAAAAATAAATTTATCAACATAGTTCTGTTTTAAATGAAATGTGTTTTAAAAAGTTTGAAAAATCAATTCGGCGCGCAATTTTTATGATGATATGTGTAAAATCGAATTATTTAAAACACTTAAGATCCAGTTTTGACCGTTAAAAGTCTTTTATTTCCTATTGATTGTGTGTTCACCTGTACGATCCAATAAGTTTTTCTTTAATATTATTTGAAATATTGTGAATCCTATAATCATATATGTCTTATATCTTTTCTTATATTTTTAAAATATATGTATATTCATTATATTCATTTTCATTTCACAATAAAATGAGATTTTAGAATAGAAACACACCTACTATGAATTAAGTAGCTGTTCCATTTTAAATAATTGATATAATGTATTATCGTTTCTTATCTGAACTAACTCATCTAACTTTCGCATTCGTTGGATAACGCATATTGCGCTATTACACATTTATTCACTTATCTTCAATTACTACGTGTTTTTTACAATTGCTGGTTTTAACGGAATGCGCCTTCACTTTGTATATGAGAGGCTTCGCATGATTTCCCTTTTGCTCGATTGTCATTGTTTCATCAACGCATTTCTTTAATTTTTTATATATTTAATTCTATATGGATCGTTATAATTGAATTTTTTTACAATATATTCTTTAAAATATATATAAATTTCTAGATACTCTTGAATGATGGAAGTTGATAAAAAATTCTACTTTTAGTTATATGTACTGATCTAATATACATACATATATATATGTTCATACATACATATATTACATACATATATAGCTGTGATTAACTCTCCTAATCATCAGGTGGAGCCATTTTTGGTTCTTTAAACGCGAAAAATCGCATATGTGGATGCACAGGTGGGATTGAACCCGGATCTACAGATTACGAGTCAATCGTACCGAGCGGCATACTCGATGCTTTATATATATAAATAAATTCTTTTTGTATATTTTATATTTATATAAGTTTGTATCCTATTGTAATTTCGATTATTCTTTGCTGTTGCAGGAAGCGGTGGCAAAGATGGGAAGGGCAGCAAGGATAATAGTTTACCCTCTGGTCCTTATGCCGGTAAGTTGCACAATTATTGTCTTATATTAATTATAGTATTTTAAATGTAAAATTTCTAGCTTTTAAATCTTTTGTCATGAACTATACCTGTTGTCAAGGCAGACCTACTGTTCCTAATTTAATGTCATTTCGTAAATCTGAAAATGAAATGACTAATTAAATACTATATAAAATACGCCCTATGTTTGAAAATGTAATTTATTAAAAAGTAATAATAATATCGATAGAGTATGAAATGTTCATAAGTTATACTATTTAGATTATGTTGTGCGACATAACTTTAATGTCAATTAATCGATATCGCAAAAAAAAAAAAAAAAACAGCATTTTTTAATACTTCCAGTTCTTTTTCTCATAATTCATTCATTATTTATTATTTAAAAAAAAATCAAAATCTCTTGTATTAAAAAGTGACTCTCCTCTTTTAGCTAGAGAACTCAAATGGCCTAATTTACAATCTCTCTACGGTGTAATGAATCAAATGTTCATTATAACTATAACGAAAATCTTATTATAATTTATAACTTTTTAATTAGATTGAAAGGCATTTGCTAATATATTTAGTTTAAAAAAAATAAAGTTTATACATAATGCACGTTACAGGCAATAACTTTAGCATGAGATAAAGTATGTTATAAATCCTTATTAACTTTAAAATTTTTCAAATTATTACGTTATAAAGCAAAATCCAATATGTTGTATTAATACTAAAAAAGTATAAAAACAATCATTCTCTTCCTCAAATTTGAAAAAATAGTTTTTGATTAAATTACGATTGCTAATTATATTTTCTACGAAATACGAAATATGTGACTGATAGCTATCCCTTATAATCTTGGCAACTAAGAGAAAATCGAGAAAGCTTTCCTGTTTCGTCGATATAATCGTACAATCTGTTTTATATTTGGTCCATAACCGAATTTAGTGCGTATCGCGGCATAATAACTATAGGATCATGGTGTGTACTCCAAAATATCGTGGTTCTCTCGACACGTGCTCACTTCTTCGTTCCTCCTCCGCTGTGGATCTAACGCGTCTAATAATATTCACCGGTTATTTTTGGAAACGAATGCTTACGGAGGCCTGCTTTTTAATGTGCATAAAGTTACATCGTCCTCGCATCGAGGCATTCAATGAGCGCTTGATCGCTACCGCTATATCATTGTATCGCAAACGATTGTTACAACTTAAATTATAAACAGATACAATAATTTAACGATATATGATATGAATGATTAAAATTTATTAAAAATCAAATTATTAAAAATAGAGTAGTATAATGCCAAAAAGTTAAATTAGAATTAATTTAATTAATATACGCATAATAATATTATTATGTATACAAGATGTCTGAAAAATCGACCGCAAAAAGAAGAAAGGAAAAAAGTTATATAAACATAGGGTCGGAAATAATAAGTCGTTTCCGAGTTATAAGTAGCTATAATACTTCTACGTTAATAAAACATTTTATTTAATTCTATTTAAATACCTATTTATGTTTATCCTTGATTCAAAAAATAATGTAATCATATTTACAAATATATTGAAAAATTAAAAAAATAAAAAAGAGAGATGTCAAGCGGATTATGCCTCTATGTGGTACATCTTGAGTATAACGCCGAAATAGTCCGAAATAAAGTTATTTATGTTCAAACACTATGAAATGAATTATGATTATTATGATTATAATTATGAAAAATAAATTATAATTATTTTAACATACATAAATGTGAGCTGTAACACGGAAACAACCTATCTCTCAGCCTATGTTTATATTTTATATAACTTTTTTTTCTTTTTGGATCTCTAATCACACTTTTCGAAGTATGGCGGGCGATTTTCTGATTTCCGGACACCTATATGATAATAAAATTTTATAATTTAATAAATCGAAGTCGTTGTTTTTTGATATTTTTACTGCAAATCTTAAATAAAAATAATTGTTTATTAAAATTGTTAGAAAATCACTCTTTAAGGATTTATATCATCTATATTCAAAATTTTAAATATTATGTAGAATATATATAAATGTAATTTTTCTTTCACATATCTATTTTCTAACATTGAATACGTACAAAATTAATGTATTTTCTGTATACTCAATGTATCTTATTGATAAACTGCGATGTCTCAAATATCGATAACTTTATAACATTTCGTAGAATTTGTAGAATTTTTTTATTTGCACTTGTAATTAAGTTGTGTTGATTGTATTTTGAGTTAACTTTATATTAATTTAAAATTTGATACTTCCTGAATATTTAAAAATTTTCCAAAATTTTTCTCTGATTCTTGGATGGCGCATAAACGTGATGATTTTGAAATAAGAAAATATTAATAGCTTGACCTGCTTGAAACGCGTCCAATAATATAAGTCATTCTAAAATATATAACTACATTTAGGTCTACATACAAAGACCAGACTCTTATGTTATACAAATTTTATAATATTAGGATTTTGAATATTGAAATGTTTAAAAATCAACAATTAACCAAAATTTATTAAAATAAATATATATTATAAATATTAAAAATGGATTTTGAATTTTCTGGAATATTCTCTTATTTTTATCTGTATCAGTGTTTTAAACATAATTATTCCAATGTTTTATGACATTATGTGGCTCTTAATTCACTAACAAGCAATTTATTACTAGAAAAAAACGATTAAAATGATGTATTTTTTTAAGCATAAATTCTCAAAAATACAGTGATCCCTCTGTGGTTATTTTTGAAGAATAGATAAAATCGCTTATTATGAGATAGGCTTTTAATACGAGATAGCAAGATTTTTGCTAAACTAATAAGCGCATGTACGTAGTTGGTTCTATTATAAACTTTTTACTCTTATAGTGAAACGTATTTAAGTAAAAAATTCGTTATTAGATCATGCGTTTAATCGTTGCAAAAAAAATTTGTGAAATTAGATGTTATCAAATTTTATTGAGGTTATTCTTTAAATTTTGTATTATTAAATAAATATTTTGTAATAAAATCTGCATTCAGTGATAGAGTAAGATCGTATTAATAGGAAAATACGTGATATGTATAATGATTTGTTTAATTGTAAAGATTAGAGTTGGTGATCGTGAAACCGTAAGGCATGGAAGTCGTAATATGAGATACTCAGGGTATTCCTAACATGAGAGCATCTAAACAAACAATTCAATATCCCAAAGCGTACTATTGAACGATATGTTAATAATTACGATTTTGTTATTGTTAAAATTCCTTTCTCATATTTAGTTTCCTAATTATTAGATACCACTTTATATGAGGAAACCCTTATATCTCATATTAGGATCTCTTTTTTAGAAAGAACAAAATCGGCACTTTTAATAAAAAAAATTCACATACATCAAAGTACAACTACTATCAATTGCTAACTTTTGGAGATAAGACTTAAATATATTTCCCATAAAACTAACATGAAAGTAGAAGTTAAGGTTACAATTTAAGTAAGTTACAAGCTTGTAAAAAAAAAGATATCTCACAATAGGCGTCTTTATCCTACTGGCCTTAAAATAGTAAGTTTTTCCGTATTTGGGACATCAGCTGATGGCTACGCGAGAATAACACGTACTGAGTGAGTGAAGCAGAGACTTCATTGAGAGTTAGTATTTAACGTACACTAGAGTTCAATGTCCTTTTGAAGGAATCGACGGTAAGGATAAGGAACAGAAAAGCTATGCGGGAATAAGGAATCACACGCGCACGACAAACACTCGGGATACTGCGCGTGAGAGATCGGACACACCCAAGAGCCTGCGTCTCTACGTCCTATGGATATACACTATCGGTATTGATCCACATGCACTGGCTCTCCTCCACAGCAGGGCCCTATCTTGCTACCTCCCTTCCTTTCATCCCTCGACCGTTCAGTGACCCACAGCTCTAACACTTTCGCTCTGTTTCTTGACATTAATCTTCGCGGTAATATCAAGAAACAAAAGGAACGAATTTCAAGTTTCTACGTTAAGTCACAATTATAGAATCATAATCGCACCTGAAATGTGAAAGACTCCAGAAATTATCAACAAAAATTACAGACGAGGACTAATGAAAGTTGTAGCGCGGTAAATAATGCATAAGAATCTTCTTTAAAAATCTCAAGTTTATTTTATAGATATTTCGGGCTATCCCTGTGATATTATCAGTGATAAATTCGAATCAGTTTATAGTAAACGCGGTAAATTAGCCATTCAGTTATTTAATTGATGCTTAATTAGAAGGTCAGAAGACAACAGAGAATCGAAACAGAATTTGTGTTCTGTAGAACGATACAAAAAATAATAAAAATGTCCAACATTCATTACAGTAAAATTCAGGAAACTCACCTTGTTATTTGCTCTTTTGAGCAAATAATAGAAGATAAAATAAAAAAACGTAATTCTACTAATCAAGTGATCCAAAATAGTTAACAAATAAAAATCGATCGTACAAGGGTTAAAAGTAAAATAACCCGTGTTCAGTAGTCATTATATAAAGAAACAAAGTTATACTTAACATATAAACAGGGTTGGAAAGTAACTCGTTACTTGTAATGAATTTACGGTTACTTTTTTCAGTAACTTAACTTCGTTACTTTCTTTCCATCTGTAATTCTTAACTTACATTTTTTTTAGTAATGAGTAACTAATTTAATATTATAGTTAACTTTATATATTAAAAGGTTTGTTTTTTACTTGTCTTGTATATTGTATCATAATACAGTTATAAATGACAAAATAAAATAATGAAAACATTTAGTATATGTAAATACAACTCAATACAAAATATAATATATAAATGTTTGACGTACCATATCATCTTCATACATATATTAAGATAATCAGTTTAATACAGAATTCTAATAATCAGTTTAAATTAAAACTACTAATATAATTAAGAAAAGTTCCATCGCTTGAATTAAAATTTAATTATTTCGTGATCGAATATAAAATTAATTTTGTTATAAAAAATTATAATATAACGTATTATTGTATAGATATTATATAATTTCAAGAAAGGAATATATTTGCAATAGAATTATTTTTCTTATCTTTTGAATAAAATTATATAACATGTAAACGTAAACCAATTTTTTTTATGGTCTTAATGGTATCGAAGTTAGGGAGGATCCCTTTAGCCTACATTCCCAATTGCACACATCACTCATATCAGCCGATCAATTTTGATTATACAACCTATTTTGCTGACAATAAGCATCGATCCTCAGCATGAAAAGGCATCTTCGGAATGGAAGAATTATTGGATAGATGATCATTTGACATAAATATGCAAAATATATAGATAATAAAAATACAATGTATAAATTTATAGGTGAAACGAAGAATAAAATATAGAATACAATTATTGACATTTTTTATTTATAATATTTATACAAATACTTCATAAATAAGTATGCATATTTGTAATGCTATAATATCTTACATAATGCCACAAAATTAAAATATTTCTCTCTCTCTCTCTCTCTCTCTCTCTCTCTCTCTACTATATATATAGTTATTCTATTGATCTAACTCAGACGATAACATTAAAATCACAGTTTTAAATAAAAATCAAGTATTATTGAGTTTTAAACACACACACACACACACACACACGCACACACACACAATACACATATATAACTACGAACCAATAAATCATAAAATTAGTACTATATTATTAGTTTTTTATTTTTAATCATTTTAATTTTAATAAAGACGCGAAATCCCGTAAAGGTGTCGATCTTTAATAGTATCTCACCGGTGGCTATTATAATAACTAATACACCATTTTTAATCTAACTAGAAAATTGGCTAGAACTCTTACTTCTAAGGGTATTACTTTTTAAAATCGATAACTTGTAACGATAACTATTTAAGACAAAACAGGTTACTTTTTAAGATAAAAAAAATCTGTAACTATAATTAGTTATAGTTATACATAGTTATAATGAGTTATAGTTATATTCATTACTTTCTTAATTTTCAAAATTATTATTCTCAAGAACAAAATTTATTTTCTATCTATCTTTTTTTGATTGTATATATTACATTTAAAAATATCTTTACAGTGAATGACTTTCTATAACTCAGTAAGTGATTATACAACATAAATACGAAAATCTATAACGTATCATTTAAAGAAGGAAATGTATGGCACGTATGGAAACACTGCGATGTTTGTGGATTTAAAAGTTATAAGTATGACAGATTTAACCATTTGAATAATGCCGATTAGAAATTGACTGTAAATTTTTTCATCCCGGACGAGCGCTTCTCTGTTTCCAGGGTGCGACAACGGTGACGCTCCCAAGAAGAAAAGTTTCTTCAAGGGATTCTGGAAGCGATCACGCCACTACTCTCTGGAGAACCAATAGCCCAGGGGTGCGAGGATGACGAGCCATCACCATCACCAGTGGTATAAACAGATGCGACAACAACAACGGCAGCGGGGCATCGCGGCTCCCATAACCCTCACAAATAAATCTTGCTGCTGTATCGTCTAGTAACCCCGATTTACACGCGTATATCAATCGTGACCATCTTCTCTTCAACCCGATGTCCATTTAGCACTCACGACAGTGCATCTCGTGTTCCTCTCTTAAACCAAATTCGCAAACGTTTCACTCCTCTTCCCTCTTCTCCGCCAAATCTGATGACTACGTTTTACATTAGCATGAACGATTCCAGCTGACGCTAATTATTCATAAAAAAATCGATTTGTATTATCAATGTGCCGAATATTCCGGTATATATATGTATAGTATATAGGTATATATATATATACATACATATGTATGGAACATTCTCTGAATATGTAACGACATATGAATGGAATATTTAACGATTATTTGAATTTTGTTTTTACATTCGGCAAATATTTCGGAATATTCTGCAATACTCTTGGAATTTTATTTTAGAATTTTTGGAATATTTTGCGAGTATTGTAGAAATATTAGCATTAGCTGGAATTTTTGTATCATTTGTCAACCAAAACAATATTCTGTGTATACATAATTCAGTGATTTTGGGAGTCTTTGAGTTTGTACATTTACGCACCCATGCATGAACACACACATTCACGCACACGTACACGCGCGCGTAAATTTATAAAAACTTACTTTTTACATTACATTTTGTATTTTTGGAAAAGAAAAAAAAAGAACTCCAGATGTATTGTATGTACACAGATTATAATGATACAAACTACGTTTACACAGTTCGATAGTTATAATATCGATGTTTTAAAACTGATCATAGCTATTCCTCTAAAGAATAAAATGACTGTAGCCAGAGATTTTATAATATCGATGTTATAATTTTGGCGTAAATCGAGCCGTGTAAACGTAATCATAATTGACCTTTCTGTATTCGCTCTTAACGTTATTAAAACGAAATCTATCTTCCTTTTGTCCCTTTCAGAACAAGATCGACCGAATTTTGACGTTCGTTGCAATTAGGGTGAGTCTGCGTGTATAATTCAGTTTCTATTTATAATTTGGTACTTTTTTATATCCTCCTATAAAAAAATTACTGGATTTTGTTTAATGATTAAATTGATAAATATATCGTATTCGTCGTATGGTAAATTTATCAATTTAACCATCAGCCAATTTTGGAAGAACTTCCGTAAAAGGAATTCCCCGATGATTTTGCACGTGAAAATTTCGGAGTCTTCACAAAGGCTCTGAATATACATATAATAAGACGTCAGTCTCCTGTTGCCATTAACTAACCAGTTCAGAGATTTACGAATATCAGGGAATTCCAATTACTTTTGCAGGAGAATGTATCACGGTTTGTAGCTGGAACGAGAGTCATCTCGTATCAAAACACTTCTTCACGCTATCTTCGTCATGCCATCTGTCACACTACATTGAGTTTTCTAGCCACGTATTATTGCGTGTCTAAACAGACTCGTAAATTTTGTACTCACGGTGAACGACGTATGAACACATCGATGGGTTTTTTCCGCCAATTGACGAATTCATTTTATTAATTCCTTCTACTTCTTACATTAGGCCTCCCGAATGAGAAATGACAATGGAATCGACATCGAATTGATGTCGAAATCATCAAATCGATGTTGATTCCATTGTCATTTCTCATTAAGTCTGATCTGTGTTACACCTCTCTCATATACTTGTAGTGCACACGTTGATTATTCAATTACCACAAGCATATTGGACCTACAATTTTAATGCCGGTTCTGAACGGCGGATTTTTCGAGAGGTGTGTTTCGGTGGGCAAGAATACTCTCGAGAGATTGCCGATCTTTTCCGAGAGAAGACACGAGCATAAATATTTTGGTTCCTACCGGGACCTCTGATATGACAGACTAGTGCGCTATCTGCCATGCTACGCTCGCGTTCCTATCTAATTTCGTTTAGATTAATTACTTTTTACAATACTACGTAATTAATTTCTAAACAAAAAATCGAGTCTTAAAACTTTTGATAAATAGCTTTTAATAATTTTTGCCATATCAAACGTTAGAACGCTTTCGATAATGAATGCTTTTTTATTGTAATATCGTTTTCTTATCGGCGACAATAAAATTTTCTTATCGCTACAAATTATATTTCGTCGATTGGCGAGTATCACGTCGCTTTTACAATTTAAATTTTTTTATCACTTCCTGTTTGTAATTGAGAAACACATCCCCGCGTATGTAAAGACAGAACGAGAATAGTAATAATAAATGATTAAATATGCAGAGTATGTATTTGAGTATATTCGACTCTGTGTGTGTGTGTGTGTGTGTGTGTGTGTGTGTGTGTGTGTGTGTGTTTGTGTGTATTTATGTGTATGTACGTGCACGCATGTATTGTATTTGCATATACTATATGATAAGACAAGTGAGAGAGTGTAAGAATAAAAAGAAATAGAGCGAAATTATGGGCGTAAATGCAAGAAAATATAAAAAAAGGATCATATTAGCATTATTATTGATACGATTATAAGTTCATAGAGTCATTAACACGTTGTAATATTATTATTATTAATAGAACAATTACGCGCGTGTGCGCAGACGCGACGTAATAATTACATACGTACAAGCGTACATATACACATACCCACACTTTGACACGCGTTAATACACTAAAAGAAATATAATAATATTATTGATTAACATTATTGCCAATAATATACGAATGACTTGCGGTTATAGCTGATAATGTAAACGAAAAGACTCGACGGTGATGATGATAATTACGATCGTCTGTATTTAAATAGAATTTTTAAGTCAATGTTTTACATTCAACCCCTCGGATATCCGACAAAGACGATCACCGGCTATAACAGTCGATCGAATGCCAAAGATTCGGTACATCGAGCTCGAGAGAAACTGTAGAAAAGATGAAAACTATCGATGAATCTTTTAATTGGCGTCGTCTTATACCACTCTAAAAAGTACAGATGCGGATTTAATACTATTCGGTGTTTATATAAACACAGAATTGTATTAATATCAACTGGTGTCAAATTTATACCATTCACACACCCATATTTTTTAGAGTGGATATATTTGTATAATATTTTCCATCAACTTCAAAATTCTCAGAACAACGATTGCAACGTTTATATCGAGATGAGAAAATGAACAAAAGAATTACATTATCTTTTCCTGAAAATTTACGATCAAATCGTGAAAGAAAGATTTGCTTTTTTTTTTGCAAATAACGATATCTGAACGTAGAAATATTAGTGGAAAAAACTTACAGCAAAAGAATATTCGATGCCATGGAAAGTTTCACCGAACGCGCTACCGAAGAATGATGTATAGCTTTTTATTCTCGAATATTCAGCTATATTCAGCTTATTTTTTGCGGATGACTTCGTCAGATGTATCTTCTTGCCTCTGACATTCTCGATTACTTGTTAAATGTTAGACAAATTGACAGACGCTTGAGAAATATAATTTATACTAAACATGTTCTATTTTATTATTTCTATATTATCTCCAGAGTTTATCGAACCGTTATAAAACAGATCGACTTACACGAATTACTAGCGAGTTCTACAAATAAAGGTCGTTGTTCTCGGGATTTCTGTTCAATATGTCATTGACATTTTTTTCATCTTTTAGTTTAAAATTATAAAAATGCAACTGTAGATATAGAATAATAATTGCACAAAATTATTAAATTATTGAAAATATAAAATTTGTAAATTATTAAAAATTCTAAAATTTACATAGTTTAAACGCATTTTTCTTAAAACATTATTTTTTAAAACTCAAATATGGTTTATATTAACAATTTGATGTTTTAAAATAACAGTTTTTTTTTGGTAAAATTTTTTTTCGGATCCTTCTTCCTCTCTATAGAGGTTCTTCCTTCCTACTTAAAATTTTTTTTTCTTAATTTATAACAAAGAAAAAACAATTCTTCAAGAAAACACAATTCTTATGTAGATGTGTCTTAGTTTTGTAAAAAAATTAAAATACGCTTCAAAAATGACAAATATGAAGTAAAAAAAATACTTAAACGTTTTTATCTCAAATAATTTATGGAGTAAAATCTTGGTTTTATACCATGCAAACGCTCGTGAACTGTAATAACTATTTAGGATGCCATTATTATTTATTTCCGTTTTTTTCTTATAATTTTGCATCTTAATTTTGTTATTTAAAATATATTTTCCAATAAAAAATACTGTTTATGTTTATCTCTGTAAATAAAAATGTTGTATAGTGTTGAAGATATCCTATTTTCTCATTCACTACATTTACTATACATATATATCTACATTTTTCTTATTTTTTTAATATTCGGTGTATTCACACATACCATAGACTTCTATGATCCTATTCTGATATAGGCTATACGTATTCCAAAATTGACTGCCTATATTAAAAATCTGTAATAACGTATTCGATTTACTGACTCGACCCGACTCCGAATCAGTCGGGTCGAATCAGTAAATCGAATACGCTATAAGTCTAGATGTACCGTTATAACTGTATAATGCACGTGACGTAAACTGTAGCATTTTTAGCGCTGGCAGTAAATTTAGAACACAGCTATGTATGCACTGCCGTTACTGAAAATCTGTAGTTCACGTTATGTATACTGTAGATTCAGTACTGGGCCCTCAGGTCCCAGTATTTATAATCGATTCTTATTTCAAAACCATTTTAAGTAATGTCTTAAAACAATAATGCGGCCCTCTGATTGGTTCGTAACACCTCAAGACTTAAGACGATTTTGAATATAAGAACTGACTATAAATACCGACCTTATTCTTGAAAAAAATAGTACATACGAAAAACTAGAGAAATACCTACTGATAAATACTATGTTATGTATATTATACAGTATTTGCCTATAGTTATTTGTATAATTATTTATATACATACGTTTCTTTTCAAGAATAGAGGGCCTGGCGCAGTGTATATCGGAACACAGCTTATGTAACACAGACTTTTATGATCAATATTCATAAGCTAGATAATTATTATATGTTTTGATATATACTGCCAATACTGAAAATCTACAATAGATGTAACGTAATCGACTACAGATTTTCAGTATTGGCAGTCTATATTGGAACATGACCAATAGTCAGTTCTTTATATTCAAGATCGTCTGTCTTTATAAGTTCAGTTTTAAGATGGCATGAACCAGTTAGAGGTCTGTATTAGCATCTTAATACGTTGCTTAAGATGATCTTAAAATAAG